CTCTCAAAGAAAGAAAATCACAACAACAGGATTACACTTTTTCTCACGGTGCCCTTAAAGTACTTATTTTTCAGTTTGCAAAAGACCAGGTAACTACCACACAGTCAAGAATTAGCACAAAATCAAGTAGGAAGCAAACACAAAAGGGGGGGGGGGTCCTAGCATCATGCAGACTGCAAAAGCTGGGTAGAAGGATTATCATAAAACTATATGCTAACAACAACATGTTTAGGATACTGGGCGGTAGGAGGGGGGGTTAATATCATTGATTCCTTTATCTTAGCTTCAAAGATGGTCAAAACATTGTTAAATTATCCAGGTGTACCATCTGTCTAGATTCTTGTATGATAAGTAATATGTTGGAGACCTTCCTTTAAAGCACTGGAAACATCTTACCTCTTTTTTAGGACGATCTGAAACAAGGCTATCTTCTCCAACTGGGTAAGTGTGGATTAAGACCAATTCACACTTCTGGATTTGCATGAGACTTCCCCAAAAAAGAAGTCACATGTTAGTAAGCTGGTAACATAGCTGAAGATGTATACTACAGAATTTAGATCAACATTGTGCAAGACTAGTTCAAACTCTTGATCAAGGTAGAACTAAAATCATGAGATGCACATAAAATGTTCTGCTTATGTTTTTGCCTGGACTTGATGCATGTTACTGTCTTTAAAAAATATATCATTTATAGTGGGAAACATCAGTATTTCTAACTGAGGCTTTTGGGGGTGCAAAACACCACTGTTCCACGATCACCAGCATAAATCAGTGGTTCTCAGCCTTTTTAGACACAAGTCTTGTTAGACTAAAGGCAAACCTCTGAAAATGCCAGGTTTTAACTTTTACTCTTTTTTTGACTATGGAAAAGCAATAGAGGAATTTTTCTATTACAAAGAACTTGGAAAGGTCAGAACATATCAGAATCTGAAATGCCTGAGTTTATTTTATGAACTGCATAGCTGTTTGCACACCTAACTGTGCTAATATTGTGTAGCACCCTTAAAAGGCTCTCATAGCACCATAGGTGAGAGCCACTGGCATAAACCGTTATAGCTCAATCCAAGTCCATAAAGCTATGGTAACTGACACCAACTGAGGATCTGCTCCTAAATGTTTTGCTAATATATAACAAATAGCTATGAAATAAAGAAGTACCCATCGTATGTCAGAGAACAGGAAATAAAAATTAATAGACTCAATGTTGAACACCCTTGCCTCGCAATGGCTGGAGTACCACAGAGAACACAGGGTTGTGTGCAACTTGTCTGAGGTCATCGAACATATATAGCAGCTGAAAAAGAACCCATGTCTTATGATTCAAACCTTTTACGGTATACATTGTGTCCTGTTTTAGTCACCTTGAGCATTTGTAAGTGCTTGCACCACAGCACTGGGCACTTTTAAAAGCACCCAGAGCTAGGGTACGTGCATTTGTATAAATGACAAAATGCACGTCAGTGCTGACAAAGTGGCGGTGGTGTGCTTTAGAACTAACACATCGGAGGAGTATTAGTTCAAAACCGCACTGCTGCCATTTATACAAATGCATGCAACACAGCATAAGGCAGGTCAGCTCATGTGTCAAGCAGACTTGATTAATCACACTGGATCTCCAGCATGTTGGAGCAGACAAATGTATGTGTATAACTGCTCCTTATTTCCCTAACACAGAACTTAAACTAAAAGTCAATTTTCTGGAGTCCATTGTATTCTTTCTATACATGTGAAATGTGAAGTTTGAAATTAAAAATAGATGAGAGCTAGAATCTCTTATTATTATGTATTACAGATTATGTAAGTGCCTAGAGGAAAGAAAAAAAGTGGAAACCTAAACTACTTCTATTCTGCACTGTACAGCACTGTAATACACAGTCCCCAAGCCAAATAACACAAGCTGAATAAGCCAAGGGAGAGATGTGTAACGTGATTTAACATTGTGACCCCGTACTTTTTCATCAGTAATTTCTCTCTAAAATTTCAATAGGAAAATTAGGCAAAACTAAAAACTATTTCTAAGCACCTAAGCTTTTACAGTCTAAATGTAACAGCCATGTAAAATGAATTTAGTGCTGCCATCAACATGCATCCCTGAAAACAATAATCACCATCAACATCAGGAACTCACCAAATACATTATTAATTTAGGGATGTTCCCTACAACAAGACTAAATTATCTTCTCTTACAGCTTGCCTATTTAAGAGATACCAATCTAAAGAAACGTGTTTTATGCTGAATGATTATGCATGTAAATACGTCAATACTCAAGTTCTTGGATTAGAGTTACATTTTACTATCTTTCTCATCTGGCTTTCTTTTCCAGTCAGCATTCAAAGTGCCCATCAAAATAAGTTTTCAATAAGATTTATGTGAAACAGGTACATCACTTCTTACAAAGGCAAATAAAAACAAGAGTCTGAAGCATAAAAACAGTGCTTGTGAACTTCATACTCACTGATCTGAATTAGCTGCAAGCTTGTTATGTTCATGAATCGTTTCCTGGACACATTCTTCAAGCATCCGAACATGGCTGTCACTGGAAAAACATAGTAGCTGATCGGTCACTAGATTAGTCATTGGTCTAGAGGATTTTGAAAAGCTTTTCTTGATGGGTTTGTTTCACTAATGCAGTAATTTTGCTTTTCATATAGCAGCAAATAAACTTTTCAGTAAAATTTTGTTTTGCAGTATTCAGTAAAAATTCTACTTAATACAAACATAGACACCTCTTCTTTTTCCTTGTACAATGTATACATTAAAAATCTTTCAGACTTCAAAAAGTTACAGGAGTGGGGCTTGAAGACAGCTCAAGAAGTTAAAGCTCAGATTTTATTCTTCTGAAGATAACCAACTCTTCATCTGTTCATCTCTTCCTAACTCACCTGCACCTGCTTTAAATAACTCACTTCTCAAGAACACCTTTCCACTAATGCTTTCCTACTCCAGTTGAGAAGCAGTTGACTAGACTACTTCAGCTAAAGTTTAGTTGACCTCTGCAAGTGAAGTACTATGTGAGGAAATAGGATTGGTGAATTAGCCCAAAAATGATCAACTGAAGGCATTATATACATCAAAGCAAGAACACCAAGTGGCATTTAGAAAAGGAAAAAACTAAATCCGGTGGGTTTAGTTTAATTCTAAAACAAGTAATTTACAAACCTAAACACATATGACAATATTAGGAGTGGGCAAAATACAGCCATATCTGGCCTGCCAATGATTCTATCCAGCCCACAGGCAAGTGGTGGCTTTGGCTCCAGCCTCTGCTGATATCACAGATGTTGGGTGGAAGCAGCCCTGCCTGCCCACCTGGCTGGCACCATGCAGCAGGCCCCAGGTGAGCCACATTCAGACCCCAATGGCTCCAGCCTAATCTGGCACTGCGTGGAAGCAGCCCTTCCCAGAGCCTGAGCTGAAAATGAGCTCATTAAAGAAGGTAGACACTGAATGCCAAATATTCAACAATGAACAGATTTCTAATTTTTTTTTTAAACATGTGGGTGGAAAAGCTACTTGCTTAATTTGTGAAAGTGCATCTGTGTTCAGAGAATACAATTTGAATTGGCATTGAGAGAGAAAGTATGAATCCAAATATAAAAACTTGTCAGCTGAAGAAAAAGCAAAGAAAACTGAGGAGATGGTTGCTCAAATGCAGAAAAAGCAAGCAACAGAGATGATGCTTGACTTTGATTTTCTGGTTAATGCACATCAGAGGCTTGTTCTCTCCATTGAGTGAGTTTCTTTGGTTTTTCTTTAACCTAATTTTCAATATACATAGTAAGACTTTATTTTGAGTAGGGGTGCACTGATAAAGATTTTCTTGGTCGATACCAATAGCCGATTATTCACCAGGCATATTGGCCAATATCAATCCAATTACAGATTTACAGGAATGAAGCTGGTCAGCGTGGAGAGCATTTCCCTGTAGGCAAGCCTATGGAAGGGAAGGGGCACAAGGGAGGGAAGGGGCATGGGGCAGATCAAGGCCCTCACAGTCAGGGAGGGAGTGGGGCAGGAGCTGGGGGGGCTGCACAGCCAGGGCAGTGAATGGGCCTGGGGCAAAGGCAGCACGGCAGAGAGGCCGTAGCAGGCAGCCCACATCCGCCCTAACCCTTAACACAAGTCTTGGGGGGCACATGCACCCCCCCGGTGCCTTCCCTGGAGGTGTGCGCAGCACCAGGAAGCCACCCCCAGCTCCATCCTGCTCCCCACCCCCAGTCCCATTCACTGCCCTGTCTAGGCAGTGCCCCAACCCCTGCCCCACTCCCTCCCTCACTGTGGGGACCTCGATCTGCGACCCTTCACCTCCCTTCTTCCACAGACTTACTGCAGGTTGCTGCTCTCCACACTGCCCGGCTGCATTCCTGGCCATGTATGCCTGCACACATGCGTGGGACATCCAGGAGCCCCCGGCAAGAAGGTGTATGAGATTTATCGGTGACATTACTGGCTACGCTGGCTGAAAAAAGCCAATAGCTGATGACGTTAATTTCCCTTTTATCGGTGCCAATCCAATATGGCACCAAAATGTTGGTGCACCTCTAATTTTGAGCTACTGTACAACTGCCTCAAAAAAACATAAAATCAGGCCAAAAAATAGTTTTTGAAATAAAACTGAAATATTTTATAGGAGATCTTTTATTTTTAGCAAATGATTTTTTAATCTACTTTTTAAAAAAATATCTTCACCATTAATTTGGTCTGTGCAGCTCACCAAAACTTGTTAGAGTGGCTCTCCAGCTGAAATAATGCCCCACCTCTAGCCTATACCAACCTTTTGGCATTAGTAATGCAGATTATTCTTCCTCTATTTCCAACACGCTCTGCATTCTCCATTAGCATAGTTCGGGCTTCATGTTGGTACTCTGTAATTTTGCAGAGTGCTTCTACTGCTGTAACCAGTCCATGAAGTATGCTGCAGCATTCTGGGTCTGCATGAGGATTAGGTGGTCCAACAGCTGCTAGAGCTGCCATTAACTGGTTTAAAAACAAGACCGAGAGAGACAGGTTTTACAGACCCATAACCAACTTCCTAAAAATATTTAGCTCTGAGCTTTCTTTTGTAGTAGATATATTAGTTGGCAACACCTCTGGACAGCACGATCACAAAAAATACATTATTTATTAATTAAAACAGAAGCCAGTACCTACTGCACGACAGGTTCTATTACCATCTTCTACTACAGGTTCCTAGTTTTTTTAAATCTTTGCCTTTTCAACAGACAGTTCTGTTTCTGTCCAAAGGTATGTTTTTGTAAAAGGAGTCTATTTTGTTTCTGAACAAAATCAGAAGCAAACAGCATGCTAGCTCAGCAGACAAACCAGGTCAAGTCTAAAATTATTTACAAGCTTTATCCAATTAAAAAAAATTACAAATAAACAATATTAGCATAACAAACATAAAAGCAAAATTTAAAGATTCCAATAGCACTGTTAAATTTAGATGTATGGCATATATTTATAGAGTATTTCTTTTTACTGTTTTTTCCTTTTTCTTCTTTATATAAAATTAACAGTGCAAATTACAGTTTGTACTATTAAACACATATAGGTTATGTCATGTTGCAATATTTAAGGGCCTAATCCTGCAAGGGGTTTAAGACGATCACTTCCAGCTAAAACCATTAGTTCAGCACCTCGAAGGATCATACCCTCACGTTCCATTTTCAATTTTCACTGAAGCTTTTTACTACTCTATTAACAGTTCCCCTCCCCATTATGTAACTGGGAATAACGTAATTAGCCTGCAGTGTCCAAAAAGTCTTAAGACCACAGGAGAAAGGCAAGAGGATTTTGGTATTAACATAAGAAAAAGGAAAGTATTTTCTCTTTATAGTCCTGGACAAAGCTTAAACCTTATAAGATTCTGGACCTTTCAAGGTTTCCAACAAAATGTAAACCCTCACGGACTAACACCAATAATTTTAAGTAGTTTTGCTGGTAGCAATTAAAAGAGTTTATCTGAACATGATAAAAATGATAATATGGAGAAGAAAGGTATTATAAATACAACCAGGCTGAAAGAGAGAGGCTTATCTGAATGCAGATTACGATCTAAGTGTCTACATAGGTGCCTTTCTTACCCAGAATATGTACAAATTGCTATTTTTGATGGTAACACTAGTCCTTAGGTCTTTTACTTATCAAAATTCAAACTGAGTACCTTTTAATAATTTTGTCAAATTTTCTTCTTTTAACCTCCATGTTTTTTTAGTGAACTTCCTTATGAGATTTTTGAGCTTGGTACAACATGAATCTTACAACTCATCTATTTCCATCTGTTGCAGTTATACGCGTGTGACTTTTAAAAGATAAACAGTATTAAGAAAAAAAAAGATCAGGTGACTAGATTTGCAACTTTCATGTGAAACGTATGCAAACTGGTGTCTTTATTGCCATTCTAGTAAGATGAAAAATAACAGTCCTCAAAAAATTTTATTCTGTGAAAGATACAACACCACTAAAATCCTTCCTAAAATGACCAACACTTTCTCGGACAAAATTAAAATGTATTATGCTGTAATAAAAGTTGTATTTGATCATTAATTTAAGCTACAAAACAGAGTATCAAGTACTATTCATACCTCCTGAAGGTTTTGGTCTTCTTGTGTCCAGGAATTTAAGACATGAGCTCCAGAATCACTTACAATGAAATTCACCTAAAAAAAGTTACAAAACACAATCTAAGAAAACAGTAACATAATGAATTCTCTTACCTCATGCAATGATCAGGACTACCTGAAAAGGCAACTTTTCCACCACCTAGTCTTTCCAGTCAATCTTTATTAATAAATAAAATGATGATGTTTGCTATGTCAAATGTATGCCATTATTATGTCAAATGTATGTCTACTGTATTAAATCAACAGGTTGTTGCAATAAATTACAATTTTCTCTACATTGTAAGTAGAGTACACCCTAGAGATCTTGCATTCAGAAGCAGTGGAATGACAAGACAAAGTATAAAAAAAATCATGCAAGGTCAATTTTTTAAGAAAGTCAGTAGCAATGCTAACTTCATACGTTAAAGTACAAACAAGAAGTCAATTTCAGTCCTGAGTTACCATTACAAAAATATTATGAGGTAACTTCCTTACTAATTCAGTTACATTTTCATTAGTAAGAATCATCACTGAGGAAATATATACCATCTGTTATTTAATTAAACACAACATTGAATCAGCCTGTGGAATCTGTCACAAGGAAGTTATTGAGGTAAGTATACTGGTGGGATTTGAAGGCAGATCAGGCAAGTTTACATACATTTGCTGGGAAGGCAAAAAGTTTCAAGAGAAGTCATTTATGATACTAGCTGATCATATATGTCTTGATTAAGCAAACCATGCAGCTCCACCATAGGAATTAAGCACGTTTAAATGCCTGGCTGAGGTTAGCAAAAATGGTAAAACGCCATTTCTCTGTTACATAACAACAGGACAACAACTTTGTTAAACTAAGCAAGAGAGAGCTACAAAGAATTAAACACAGTAAGCACAGACGTGTCAGATGAGTTTATGACAATAGCTAAAAGTTTCAAAAGGGCTTGATGAAATAGTTTTGGGGTGTAGGTTATCGCCGTGTTGGTCTAAGGACATAGGCAGATGAAGTTCTTTGGATAAATCTGATACCTTTTATTAGCCCAACTGAAATAGCTGGGAAAAAATCTTCTTTGCAAGCTTTTGGGCACAGACACCCTTTGTCAGGCTGAGGAAGCATCTGCAGTTGGTTTGTGCTCTTCAGTTGGCATTCTAACTATCACCAATTTGGACAAATAATACTGACCTCCCTACCAGAATATGCTTTGATTTCATGTCTTTCCCATGGCAACTGACATTTTCAGGACATTACCTGAAGTTTTATTCAAATGCAGACAAAAGAGCTACTCATTGGGTATGTCTACACATGCGTTATGGAGCATTAATGTGCAATAATTCTCAGTGACTGGCACTACTGCACAGCTGTGCTGGCACACTTCTTTTATGTGACGCTAATGGGCAGTAGACTTATTCTACTGCGCCTTAGCACTGCTTTTGGTGTGACATGCACAGTAGAATGAGTCTACTGCACTTGTAGCATCTTGTGTAGACACACCCACATAATAGATAAGAAATTAATTCCCCCATTTTATAATTCACAATTAGTTAGGTACAATATCAAGCATTTTCCCTCCAAAAAAATCAAATGGGATTGCTCGCTATTGCAGATTGTATACCAGACTGGATACATCGGTGCCTTGATTTTATGCAATAACTCTTTTTTCTAATATCTTTCAAGCTTTAACATAAAAGAACTGTATGCTTATTTTTAATTAACTATTTTCTTTGTGCTAATATTTAAGTCTGTTTAAATCTGACTTTCCTTTTTGACACAACTAGAAGATTATCAGAAATGAAGAGGTGTCATAAGAAATAAAAGTTGCTTACTATATAAAAGCAAAAGTATAGGAATTGTGCATTCTGTCATCTATCTTTCACCTATGTTCTATTAACTGTGCTTTGCTTTAGTACTGTATCTATTATAAGATAAACAAGCTAAGACCACACTATGTATAAAAATTATATTTTTAACTGTAATGTATTGAAGTAATAATGCTAGATTGCATTCTACACCTCTTTCATATATGAAGGTGTTGAGCCCCTTTCATTAGCAGGAATGCCAAAGTGCATTCATCTAAAAATAAAACACTCTGTAAAAGATAATTATATGGATCGGTTATAGGATTTAATGTTATATGCACTGGAATATTAATGAGAGGTCATGCTGGGTACAATGAACGTGCCAAATACAAGTCCTGGGTCGAGGAGCAGCTGTGCAAATTCTGATTATTAAGGATTTTGAAAAAAATAATGGGTTGGTGGGATCAAGATTTGCAGTTTGCATGGAAACTTCGACATATTGCTTATAACCAAAGTACTGAGCTGTCAAGCAGAATATCCAGAAAATAAAAATGCCCATAACTGTCAGTGAAACCCAATACTGTTATTCTCCTAGATAAAATAAGAAAGTAAAATCCACAGCTTAAACAGTGAAAAAGTTAGATTTTTTTAATTTCCAGTTTTTATGACTGAACAGTATTGGTTTTTATTGTGACCAAATCTTTAAAAATATACGGCTTACATTAAAATGAGAAAACATCCCATCATAATATGGCTCTATAACTGGTATTTCTAAAAGCACTTACCAGTTTTTTGAAAGGAAATATATCATACATTATTCTACAGTATTCCATAGATGATTCTACTGAACAGGTCCATAGTGACTTTGAGATGGGAGCCAGAGGTATAATTCCTTGGGTCCGATTCTTCACTAACATGTCAAACTCAACATGTTGTCTGCAAGATTCTGCCATATAGGGGCAATGATCTACAACAAACACAGTTTTATGGGACTCAGCGAAAATTTTCATTTTCTTCCTGAAACAACAACAAAAAACATCCAGCAGTTAGACAAAAAAAAAAAACCTGCAGTAGTTTTATCAGTTGCTATATTTACAACATTATTGTAAAGCTTATAAAGTATCTTGGGTATGCAAACAGTAACCTTACTACGAAACTACTCTTTGCAAGGCTATACTTAATGACTTGCAATTATTTTCATCTTATGCAACTACATTAATTGAATTATGGTTGATATTTAAAAAATATCTGTCTAAACTAAAAACCTGATATACAAGATTTGTGTCTACAAATAAAGCATTTTTATGCAACAAAAGAAAAAAATGAGGTAGGTGGTGAAGAAAGCAAATACTGATATTACATTTCTTTCACTCCTACCTCAAAGAATTGAAGACAAAATTAACAGGAATTGATAATTACTTCTATATTTGAAATCTATCTTTAAAACGTAATTTCTTAAAATGAGTTAGAGCAGGGTTCCCAGTGTTTGTGTGCCCAAGGACACATTCAAATTTAAAAGAAAAAGCAGCAAGCCAATATCAAGGTAATTCCTGGATATGTGCATGTGCCTGGTTTCATTTGGGAGGGGAATAGTAAGCACCACTCCATCACTGCATCAGTCAGCCTGACTCAGTCTCATTCTGGCAGCCGTTGCATACAGCCGGTGAAAAGAATTTAAGTGTTGCTGTTCTGAGTTCAAAATCAGAAGTTACAGCATTTTTTGTTGGAATAATGATTTTTACTGATTGTGAAAATGTGTGCAGGCACCTAAATAAACCTCAAAGGGCACCACTGTGCCCACAGGCACCGTACTGGGAACCCACTGTACTGAGTCTTTCTAGCATAGAAGCTTTCCTCCAGTCTGTTAAATTTTGCAGTTGATATTTGTGAATTATCAGTTCCTCTGTTTCAGTATTATAGAGACATTAATTTTTGTTGACTCAGTCGTTGCACAACATAGGCAAGAAGAACTTTTAAGATAGTATGAAAATGCAACTGTAATGTAAAAAATACTCCACAGGAACTTGGAAGCATTAAATTATTTCCTGAACCCTATTTTTAAGTCATTGTTGGAAGTTGGCCGTATTTCAAGTTGACCCTGTCCTTTAAGAGTCATACACAAGGCTGCTTCTGCTTCAACAAAACTGAGCGCAACTTGAAGAGTGCTACCAGAATGCTACACAATTCTCTCCCATTATAGATCTCTATTAGGCAGAGAGATCATGATTCCATTATAGATCACTATTCTCTCCAATTATAGATTAGCTTATGCTGCTTATTTCTTGAATCTAACATGGACACTGTTTATGACATTCTTCAGTAGAGACAAACTAAAATTTGATTTTTGCCACAGCTGTAATTTCAACATTAAAGGCACACAAGTTGTCTAAAGCTGCAATGAGATACTTAAATATGCCACACTCGTGCATCTGACCTTAGTTACTTACATTTTTCCCAAAGTTTGTATCCAGTCATTCCCAGGGAGCTAAAATTATTATCCTGGCCACAAAGTTGTACACAGGTTTTGAAAACCAATACAATGTTGAATTCAAACCTGGAGTCTCTTGTAATCTGACTTTTCAATTCATTCTGACAACAAGCTCTTCCATGCCCCCAGCCCTACAATGATTAGAAGGAAGGAAAAAAAAAAAAAATCACCCATGTCCCTTTCTGTTCTGGGCATAACACATATGATCTTTCTATTTGGGATCACTTGTGCTAGGCAGGTAACAAAGAAGTTTCAAGTCTTCTGTAACCTTTTTCTTAATCAGTTAACCAATGGAAAACCAGGAACAGGGCTAGTCCACAATCACCAAGCCTGTTAACCACTAAGAGCACCTATACACATAAAGAAGGTACACTGTAATTATAGTGCACGGTAATTACTGCATTCCAGCAGACTCCAGCCTCACGGATATCAGCGTCCCTGCACTGAAAAATGGCAGTGGAGCACTTTAAACTAAAACTTGTTCAATAAGTTTTATGCTGGACTATCACGTAACACGCACCACAGAGGGTCTGCAAAGCCACAGTCCCTGGTCCATCCAGCAACCTTCCTTGTTGGCTACTTGACTCAATGCTCTCTGTCTAATATTTGTTATTTAAAAAAATCAAAACAAGAGAGAGACAGAGAGCGACACATTCCCCTGGCAGCCTGACCCAGGGGCAGAGACGCTTCAAGACTTTCCCATCACTTGATCCTTTTACAATCTTTTCTCCAATGCCAGAAGAAAGGTGTTTGTGCCCAAAAGCTATCTTTTCATTAAAGAAATCTAGTTGGTCTAACAAAAGATATCACCTCTACCACGAGCCACAATTCTCATCAGTTGAGGCATTAAACTCAGTGCTTCGGCAGACTCTCCCTCGGCCTGAAGAAGGGCATTTGTGCCCAAATGCTTGCAAAGAATAATTTTCCCAACTATTTAGGTGGTCTGAAAAAAGCTATCACATCACCCAAAGAGCCTTGTCATCCCATACTTCAGTCGAGGCATCCAACACCCCCTTTAAATTTCCCTTAAAACGGTGGGGCCACCGTTAGCGCCGGGGGGGGGGAGGGTGGCGGGGG